ACCCATAAAAACCTATGGATGCCAGCCATGAAAGCCTACGACTTCACAATTAATTTTGTGTTTAGACTTGGGTCCCATTTCCAAGATATCTCTTTAAGTATGTGTATATGCCAATTTGTTGTTGTGTGCCTTCAAGCCATTTCTGACCTATGGCAACCCTAAGGTGAATCTGTCATGGGATTTTCTTGACAAGGTTTGTTCAGAGGAGGTTTTCCATTGTCTTCCCCTGAGGCTGAGAGAGTGTGATTTGCCCAAGGCCACCCAGTGGGTTTCCATGGCCAAGCAAGGAATCAAGCTCTGGTTTCCAGAGTTGCAGTCCAACACTCAGTCTGCTTTGCCATGCTGGCTCCCTTACTGGTGAGGTCCTGAAACCAGTTTCAAACCAGTTTGAATACATCTGCTCTCCCTCTCTCCCAAACAATTGCCACCTCCATGCCTAGAAATAGCCAGAGCAGCTGGCCAGTTTCAAGAGCCTGTCTCCTTCCTCCTAAACCTAAAGGTCCAATTTTATTTATTTATCTATTTATTTTATATGCCACTTTTCCCCCAGAAGGGACCCAAAGTGGCTCACAGATTAAATAATAATATATTTTTTTTTAAAAAATCATCTAAAAAAATTCCATTAAAAATGTAACTGGTTCCTCCTGAATAAATGCAGCAGTAGTGCCATGTAAACTGAACCTACTTGTTACGCACTATTGTGTCTGTAGAATAAGAAGGGGAAAAGAGAAGGGAATTTAACTGAAGACATTTTATATGAAAAGAGGAGAGAAAGAAGAAGAGGAGGGCGTGCTTTTTGTGCTATTGAGGCACTGGAGAATTTCTCTTTGCCCCACATGGTGACTGGTGGCTTCCATGTCAGTGGGATAGTGTTTTGGGTTTGAGGCCCTGTCTGCATGGGCCAAATAAAATAGCCTCTTGCCCCACTCCTCCTAATGAGTTGTCTGGATGACACAGGGCCAAATCCCCAGTTCTGGTGCCAATCCAGCACCAAACCCAAGGTACCCCCCTTTAAAACAGTTTTTAAAACTCACCTTTTTCTTCATATCTTCCCAGAAGATCTGGAGCCCTCTGTTGCAGTGCCAGGCAGCTATTTACAATGCATCTCACAGATGATCAACACTGGGCACCTCTTTCAGAGCAGGCAACCCATGGTGGCGGTGGGTGGCACAGCAGGACGCGCATGCAAATCGCTGCCCGGTGTCACAATAGAGTGCCCAAGGTAACAGGGATGTTGGGCCAACTTTGGGGCTAGAATACTCTGGGCTATTTCCATAGTATTCTGGCCTGTGTGGATCCGGTCTCTGTCTGAACTTTAAAGGAGCCATTCACAGTGGTGGACCTGTGCCTTAGCTAGTTCCTTTGAAATTCAGACTAGAACACAAAGTAGGCTAACCATCTCCTATTATGGGAGATGTTAGTTACCACTTCCACCTCCTGCCATCTGTTTAAGAAGTCTTGGTGTGCTTTTTCTTACAGAGAGAAGCCCCGGTTATAATCCTAAAGCACCCATTGCATAAAACAGATGTCAGTGTGATGTCCCCTCCTCCAGTCCTACTGTTGGCATAAGAAAGTGGCAGCAGCTCCTTTGAAGCTTGTTGGAAGCTGCCACAGAGCCAAGATGGAGAAGCAAATGTTTCCTAGTCCTGAAGCAGAAAGAAAAGAAGGCACTGAAGCACTGTGGCATAGAAGAGTCCAGAGAAACCCAAACAAGGACCCTGGCAGCTCAGAGATCCAGCGCCAGCACTTCAGGAAGTTCTGCTACCAAGAGGCTGAGGGGCCCAGGAAAGTTTGCAGCCAGCTCCACAATCTCTGCCATCAGTGGCTGAAGCCAGAAATACACAACAAGACACAGATCCTGGACCTGGTGCTCCTGGAGCAGTTTCTTGCCGTTCTTCCCCAAGAAGTGGAGAGCTGGGTGAGAGAATGTGGAGCAGAGACCAGTTCCCAGGCCGTGGCCCTGGCAGAAGGTTTCCTCCTGAGCCAGGCAGAGGAGAAGAATCAGGAGAAGAAGGAGAAGAAGGTGATACCCTAAACTTTACCACTACTGTGAAGTCGTAGGCTTTCATGGCCGGCATCCATAGTTTTTTGTGGGTTTTTCGGGCTTTGTGGCCATGTTCTAGAAGAGTTCTAGAACATGGCCACACAGCCCGAAAAACCCACAAAAAACTATTTACTACTACTGTTTTGTTATACAGTAATATCCCAGGAGAGATGTTCCAACCTGCTGATCAAGGGAAATGTGGAGCCAGCCCTAAACCCCTCTTAGATTGATGACTAATTTTTCAGTGAAGGGATGGAAAACAGCTATCTTTATTAGTACTCTCTGAAGAAATTTGGGTTATTCACCTGGCGTTTTAAAAATGCAGGAATAAATTTACCACATCTAGAGAATTAAACAAGGAAGAACATCTTTATGATAGCCTTTAGCCTTTGCCGTAGCATAATAGCATCTTGTCAGGGACATGAACACGAGCAAGCTTCCCTTACATATGTGCATATTCTTTTTTGGATACTGCAGGGGTAGGAATTCCCTCCTTCCCTCCACAGTGCCCAAAGCCCCCCATCCAGACTTACTGAGCAGCCTCTGAAAGCCCCACCCAGCTATTCCCTGCTTTGTAGGTAGTGGGTAGGATCCCAGAAGCATCTCCCAGTAGCCAGATGCAAAATGTTGACATCAGTGCCAAGATATGCCAGTGATCTCAGCCCTTCTGTAATTGTTTTGCCCCTGGCTATGGGGATGTAAACCTACCTGCTCCCCAGGAAGCAGGAGATGGTGGGAATCGGGTGTAAAGCTATTCAGTATGGGCAGTGGTGGTATAAGGTTCAGCCTAGCAGAGGTCTGCATACAGACCTGTGGTATGATGAGCCATACTGGATTGCAGCCAATATAGGTTTTCTAGCCATTTTGTTCATTTGTCAATATGTTGTTGTGTGCTTTCCAGTCATTTCTGACTTATGATGACCCTAAACAAACCTATCATGCAGTTTTCTGATTAGCTGACTGAGGCCCAGTCTGGGAATATGATGCTGAGGGGATAATGTGGCCTTCCAAAGATTGTTTAACTGCAACTCCCAGTGTTCCACTGCTGAGAGTTGTAGTTTAGCAACAGTTTAGTTGTACTTTAGAAGCAGCTAGTTACCTAGTTTAGAAGCAACTCTGCCTACTGGAAGATTTCAAAACACAGGCCTGTCTTTTCCTAATCAGCCCTTTCCTTGCTGTTACTCTTCACCCCTCTTTCAGGAGACTGGTACACTAGGTAAAATGGCTGCTGAGTTCCTTCAGGAAGAGAAGGCCCCATTGTACACCAGACCAAAGGAACCATTCAGGTGGATTGTGCAGACAGGTGAAGGAGCCACCACCTTGCTGGGTAAGGAATAATAGGATCACCATTCCCATTCTAACTTGGTCACACTCAGTGAGGTAGGCCTCAAAATTCCTGGGCTGCTTTAGAGTTCTCCTTGAGCCTAGCAAGGGAAGAGACCTAAACCTAAAAAGAACCCTCCTGCTGGATTAGACCAAGGACCTCTCTTGCCCAAATACAGTCGCCCCTCCGTTCTCACAGACTTCCAAGTCCGCAGTTTTGCATATTGACGGAAGGGCGACCTCCATTGAAATAAATGGGGTGTGCACCCACGGGAGCACGCCCCATTCATTCCTATGGGGCTTGAACATTGTCGAGTCTCCGTTTTCAGGGGGGTGGGGGTCAGGAACAGATCCTCCATGAAAACAGAGGGCCAACTGAAGTCCAAAGTACCTAACCTTCTCTTTATTTTGACAGGTAGTGAGAAAAGCCTGGTTCTTCCTTCCATGAAGTTTCCTGTAGGAGAAGAAACCTCTGCAGTCCAGCCAGATCAGGTAGGAGAAAGTGAAAGAGTGGAGAGCCTCAGGGTGGGGAGGCAAAGTGGATGTCCTGTGTTTAA